ATAGCAACGTAATTACATTATTATATATATTATTTTTGACTTCATTATAACCTGTTAACTCCCATCCCTGGATTTGGGAGTCGACTAATAAGACTGGAATTTACCCTAGTATTACCACGCAGGTCACGTGGTTCGGTGTAGGATTTTATTTGGAAAATCTCTGGTATTTATGGTTTGCTGGTACTGTCTCATATTATATGAATCATACTCGTGTACGGTTGCTGCTTGTGGGGACTGGTGTGTTCGGGTTACGAACACTGACTAGAATTTTTGCTTTTGCAATAGCAAAATTGCATAGCAAAATCTTAAAATTGAATTTAGAAATGAATCTGTATTATTGTAAACATGTACAACATTTATTTGAAAAGATAGCGAGCAGAGTTTCTTGTCTGTTTTTCTCATCTCGAAAGCATTCCGAACTGACGGTAGATTTGACATATTATAAAAGTATAATCATTAGGTGTCGGTAATAGACTGAGATGAATAATCATAATCTCAGCCCGGAAGACGTCCACTGCTGAACGAAGGTCTCCCCCAAAGATCTCCACGACGATAGGTCCTGCGCTGCTCGCATCTAATGCCTTCCAGCTATCTTGACCAGATCGTCGGTCCACCTTGCTGGAGGCTTTACCACGCTGCGTCTTCCGATCCGCGGTCGCCACTCGAGGACTTTACTGCCCCAACAGCCATCTGCCCTACGAGCTATGCCCTGCCCATTACCACTTCAGTTTTGCAATTCTCTACATGAATAAGGAAGTTGTGAATTTGAATTTAAGTTAAGCTAAGATAGTGGGGATTGGATAATTCCATTTTATATTTATACTTACTAATATAATATTACAAATGTGAAAGTAGAGATCTTTGTTACGTTTTTACGTAAAAACTCCTGAAACGATCGTCATGAACTTTTTTGTACACATATTCTTGGAGATATTAGCATGAACATATGATACTTTTTTTTTTAAAAAAACTATATTTTTTATAAAAAATAAAAAAATGTAATATCCACAATTTGCTACTTCAGCGCCATCTACCAGCCAGTAGTGAAGTTATGCGAGCGAAGCCGCGGGTAAAAGCTAGTATTTATATAGTTGTACACGTTATATTATTTTTTTAATTCGATACCACACAGAGTACCTACATCAAAGTTAATACATAATAAAATATATAGACAAGGTGGTGACAAGTGATGTAACTAATACGTTATACGAATGAACCGGGTCATCAGTACGCACACCCCCTAAGAGGGTGCAGGGCCTTAGGGCGAGCCCCTTTACCATCGAATGCGGGGGCAATAACCCCCGAGGAGCTAGACTAAGATCTTCTTTATAGTCGAAATTAAAAAGAAAGAATTAGGGCACTATTTAAGTTAGGTTATACAATGTATTAGGGACAATATATACAGCTATACCTAAATTAGAAACTAGTGGCATATTTGGTGATTTTTTTCACATTATACATGTTAATCTAATTTTATTTAAATAATTATAATTATAAAAAATTTGTAGTTTAATAATTATTTTACGGCTTCGGTGATTTAGTGTAGTTTAGTTTAACACACTGCCTTATTCCTTTGGTTGTGGGTTTGATTCCACAATATGAACATTTGTATTCATAAGTATGATTGTTTATATGGGTCTGAGTGTCTCTATATGTTAAGGGTACTAGATAACTGAAATGAATATTTTTTAAGTAAATACATATATAATAATGTATTTACTTAAAAAATGTTCATTTCAGTTATCTAGTACCCTTAACATAAGCTCAGCTTAGTTTGCAACTAGATGGCGCTGTGAATTGTCCGGAGTTTACAACAAATTTACAAACCAACAAACAACCATGGTCACATATATACATATATCGTACAAGAAACGATTTCTTGTGGGTTCGTACCCACGACCAAATATTAATATGAAATCAAAATAATTTCACTAAATACATAAAACAGTAATCACGCAAACCTAGAAACAACCCGCAAGTCCTAAACAATAGAATTATATTGAAGACATCAAAAAGGAAATTCTTATCAGTGATAGGGCCACCATTAAAACCACTTTGTCAATTCTCCTACCACGATATCTCGAATCGACATTTTATTAGTGAACAAGTGAACAATCTGTAATCCCCACCCGGTACAATTTACGATTTATAAAACCAACATTCGTGTTGTAAAACAAAACGATAAAGATAGTCGGCGTGGCCGTTGCAGCCACTGCTTTATCTTAATATACACTGTTATTAAAAAGTTAATCCGCAAAAAAAGTACAGCGAGGTCGGCCGGCGTTCGTTATCTGCCGAGAAAAGTGTATCTAGTGTTCTGAAAGGCTCGTCAAGTGGTGGAATACTTCGAAGAGAAAACGAAATTATTATACCATGTTATACGTACAAAATATTCATTTTAAAAAATCCCTAGAAAACATTTGGTAAACCTACAACCTGTCTTATCATTTGCGAATAAATAAACGTTAATTATAAAGAATTATTTATTGATTAATTTCATTATAACAAAGACTTTATTTGTTATTGTAAATCATTTGTGTGCGTATTTACATACTTATCTTTCTATTTATTACCTTTTTAATACAAAACAGCTGAACGGATTTTAATAATATTTGACGTTAATATAAATTACGAATTTTATCTAAAAAAAATCAGGCGAATCAGGTAAAAAACTACCAAAAATAAAAATCACATTTGACTCGAGGTATATATTGTTCAAGATTGTGTTCGTACTAAAAAAAACTGGCAAATTAATATAATAAATAAATTAAAATATGGCATAACTAAGCTTAATATAGAATTAGCATTTCTCTTATATTGTTATGTAAAAATGTTAATAATATTTATATTTCGATATTACAGACAAAATGATATTGTATCGTAAACTTAATAAATGCCTTAATTTAGTTAACCTTACCGGTGGGAATTCCAAGTATTTCTATTGTAATATTTTAGTCTTGACTGATCTTGTGGTACAATATAGCGTATTCAATTTTTTTGTTAGAATATAACATTTTCTATTTTTTCTCATGGATGATTATAGAGTGGTGTACTCACCTGGGCTAACGTTTTACGCTGGCGGGGCACCAGTGGAGGATGATAACATGACCAATAGGTCAGGTAGTTTGCCCACCGTAATTACATAACTAGGTATTAACCACGATGGTTTCCAGGGGGAACCGCGTGGAGGTCGACCTAACAAGGTACATTGCTAATGGAGACGCTAGACTAGTAAGCACTTTTAGGAAATATACTGTTTTGATTTTTAATAAAATAGCCGTTGTGTTCCCGCTCCAATCACATTATGTAAAGACGAATAACTGGCGCTCTCCACTTTTTTTTTTATTATTATTTTATTTATTTCGGATATTTCCATATTATTGTAGTAACCAACTTATAAACTATGTTAGTAAATTACAATTTTATACATTTAATTCATATATTTATATTTATGTCTTTATCCACGTCCAGAAGCCCTGGGTCCGGCAATGCAGCGATATCCAGTGCCCCCTGAAGTGGACAATCCGACATATTATATATGGTGTTTAGGAGGCTGTTTGCGCTCACCCGAATTCTACACATCAGTGATGCAGTTCTATTTCGCATTATGGCTTCAAAACCATCTATCCGCGCTGCTGCAAACATCTCTGATGCGCTACAGAATCGACTTTACAGACTGACTGACTGGCAGACTTTACCTACGTATGTATTTTTATAAATCATCTAATACATAACCTTGCAAGAATTAATTATGTTTTATAACTTATAGCTTTGTAATAATTAGCTCTAAAACATAGATAAATGATTAATTACAATATGTATATGAGATTACCGCGAGTGAGACTTGAAGAAAAGTCTTATAATATTTAATTATTCATTAACGTCTTAAAGTCTTACGTTGTTCTGTCAACTCTATCAATTCTTTTTTTTTTTAATAAAACTATAATAAAAATAAAATGCATAAATCCTCCTTCGACATGTATATATATATATATATATATTGAAATATACTAACATACTTTATAAGTTGTTTATCAATATAATATGGATGAATATGCTAAATCATCGTGGATTTATAAAAACATTCTGTGGATGGATATCTGAAATAAATGTATAAAAAATGTAGTCTCTCACACGCCTGTCTGCTCTCAACGGGTGTGTTTATTTTCATCGTCGTAACTTTAAGCTATTCATCCATATTACTTAGTGTTAAGGACAAAGATAATAGTTATTTTAACTCGTGGACTACAGCTTAATAACCTCGCAAGATGTTAAGTCCATATGCACTTTTTAGTTTTGTTATCATGTGCATTGAAGCTAAATAAATAGAGATATAAGATTGATGAAGTTTATGTGGATTTATAGGATTATATATTAACAGCCTCAGTGGTCTATTGGTTTAGCACACAGCTTTCCTTTCGATGGTCACGAGTTCGTTTCCTCACACATTGCTAACATTTGTATTCATACGCATGATTGCTTGTATCCGTCTGTTTTCTATATATCTGATGTGTGTATTTACAAAAAATAATATATAAGTGAATATTGTGCGACGATTATATAGTAACAGCTTTGGTTGTCTTGCGATTTAGTACGCCGATTTCCTTCCGATGGTCCCGAGTTCGATTCCTCGCACGGCGCTAACATTTGTATTCATAAGTATTATTGTTTGTATTCCGTCGGTGTTTTCTATATATGGTATGCATTAATAAAAATCAAATCTAAGTATTTATATCAGTTGTCTAGTACCCATAACCCATAACACCCCCAGCTTAGCTTGGGAATAGGTGACGTTGTGTGATTAATCCAGGGTTATTATTATTAAGCATGATTTTTCGTATCAGTTTTTAAATATCTTATCTATGAATTTAAAAAAAAACTAAGTGAATACATCAATTTTCTAATATTTATAACACAAGTTCTGCTTTGCTGGGACTAGGTGTGAATTGTCCAGGGTTATTATTATTAAAAAAACTATTAAATAACAAATGTATACGTACCATCGTGTGAATCATACATATAAATGATCTCCTTCCATCCATAGAAGATGATAGTGTCCACAATGGCCTTATGGTAATCCGGTCTCATGCTCACAGCGTGATCGATCAACCCTGAAGACGGTGGGATAACCTATGGAAATATGTTTGTTATAGTCACTGACGGTACATTACTTATTTTAGCACTTACATTATATATTTCAATCACATTTACATATGCTTTTTAAATTTAGCGATGTAACAATTCATACTAAATGCAGTTTATATATATTTCACAAATAAATATCTATACATTTACGTAAATATGGAGTGTATGTGTTGTAATATTGAAATAACCGTTTTTTACTACATGCATATGAATATAAATATGGTACATACACCAAAATAAAATTTATTACAATTTTTGTCTAATCACTGAAATGGTTAAACCGATTTTGATGGGACTTTTATTGGCAGGTAGCTGATGGGATAAGGAGTAACTTAGGCTACTTTTATTATATAAAATAAAGTTAAATTCCACGCAGACGAAGTGGCGCATACAGGTGGTATACAACAAATAGTGAACAAAAATAATGAAAGTGAAAAAAAATTATGAAAGTGATCAAAAATAGTGAACTGAACGAAAGTTAATTTGAGTGTATTATGAACAACAAACCACTCATTAACTCGCGGATAGGACAAAAATTAGGTTACATGCACAAAGGGATCTGGTGCATTACCATGATATCTCGGTCAATTATACAATGACTATGAGCATCATTATTTTTATCAACACAATTTACATCGTGTTGCTTTCTCATTATTGGGTATTTGTGAACAAAATCTGAATAGAATAGAAAATCATTTATTCAAATAAACTTACATTGAAGCACTTTTGAATAGTCATTACATTTTTTAATCTACCGCTCGTTCGGAAAGCTGTCTCATCACAAGAAGAACGAGCAAGAAACTTGCGTGTTGCTCTTTTAAATAATTTTATTATTACTTTACATTTTTAAGTTTAAGTGTGTGAATACAAACCACCAATTAGCACTAATTCTATTAAATACTCTGTCTGTAGATATTCATACATTTACAAAAGACATATGTGTTAAAATATAGAAACTGGTATATTGCTATTTTGAAGCCTGCGTTAAATTAGTTACTGGTAAGCACTTGTAGTTGTTCTTTCATTAAGTAGCGATGTTAAATGTTATTATTAGTACTATCGGACCTCCGTAACTTCGTCTGCATCATGCTTACTTGACCAATTTACAAAATATCTTTATAGATATAGTTTGTATCTATATTACTGTAAAACTTCAAAACATTTGTATTCATAATTATGAGTATTTGTAATTACCTAAGTTACTTCTGATTACATCAACTGCCTGCCAATAAAAGTCCCGTCAAAATCGACTCAGCTATTTCAGAGATTAGCCGGAACAAAGAAACCGACAGACAAAAATTATAAAAAATATAATACTGGTGTATGTACCATATTTATCTTCATATGCATGTAGTAAATAACGTATATTTCAATATTACAAACAGACACTCCAATTTTATATAAATAAACTACATTACATATAAATGTATAGATGTATTTACAAAAAAAAAACTTCATTGATATCTGTTTAGTAGTCTTCGCGTGAAAGATTAAAAAACATCCATTCATACTCACAAACATTCGCATATATAATATTGTTTCTTATTCTTATTATAAATATCGATATAGAAATTAGAAATGTTTTGGTATTTGGTATGGCATATATTATTAATATAATTATAATGATAATTGTAGTTGCCAAACATACAACTCAATTTTTCTTAACTATAAAACTATCATACACAATCGTTATAGTTTCAAACTGTTGAATTTGAAATTGTTTAAAAAAGGAAACAACTGTAGTACATATTGTGTGGAACTTTGTTGTATAGCACTGAAAACTATAACGATGTAAGCTAACTTAAAGAAACATCTACCATCATTAGCGTAAAAAATTGTACAGTACGTTCAGGAATGTATATTTTAATTTTATTCAGTTTCTTATATTAATTATGAAATATTTAAAGAAATAAATACAGCTACGGAGTAGTGGTACACAGGATTATTCTGTCTCATTCAGATGAATTTCTCAATTACTCGAGCTGAGGTTGGAATCTTTAGAGGTATTACAGACATAGATTTTTTTAAATTTAATTGTAATTGTATTACTACCTTAATGGTTTTATTTTAATCGTGGATAAGTCTTCGAATAGCCAACACTACGTTTCCAAGCTATATTAAAACTCTATCTAATGCCTGACGACGCCTCGTGTATAGGCGAGACACGTGTCGCAATATGGGTGTAGACTAAATAACGGTCGGAATTTGATCACCATTGCAGAAGGTCGTAACGCTTCCAGTTGTGATTGTCTGATTTCATTATATATTTGTGATCTCACATATGTATATTGTATTTATAAACAAAATAATATACATTTTATTAAGTGACTTAAGCAAAACAAAAAATAATGGTAAAATAGTAATGCAATATTCGTCAGTTAGGTAGATCAACAGCATCACGGATATCATATCATAATGTGAAGACGTGGCATCATATATTACCATTTCGGAGAATTAAGGTGTCATGGCAATTTTTTTTATATACTACTATGTTGGCAAACAAGCATACGGCTCAACTGATTATAAATGGTTACCGTAGCCTACGTACGCCTGAGACACCTGGTGTGTCACGTGCGCGTTGCTCACCATTAAGAAACCTTAATTCTATCTCGGCGAAAGAAAAAATATCCAGTAATATCTCTGCCGTTGCGTATTTTGTGTACACAGAAACTTACAAAGAAAACTACTTGACGACTGAAACTGGCAAGACAAAAGGAACCATGCAATCGAGTTTGAGCAAAATGTACCGAGGTAAAAGTTTCAAGTTCCTTCTCCACTCACTACAAATTTTTTAGGTACAGCTAGACCATCTGCGGTCAACTGCATTGTAGTAGTTATAAAAAAATGGCAATAGCGAAACATAAACGTGAATTACGTATAATAACCAAGAGTAATTGTGGGAGAAATCTTCCAATTTCATGGAACAAAGTACGATGGACTGTTAAAAGTGAAAATTTCGCCGAAAATGATTCTCTCATAATAAGACAGTGCCTACTTTGAAACGTATCTAATAGTAATAAATGGATTTTGTCGGAAGTAAGGGTAGAAATTGAACCAAAGTAACGACCGTCAGTAAAATCCAACAGACTCTCGACTTTGCTATTGTGCGTCCATTTATATACATCAATGATACGACAGTTGAGAACAAACTGCTCCAGCGGATGTCAGAAAAATATCCTAGACTATTTTACTCTCGTACAAATAATATTGAAAGAGCAACTTAGATAGTGGACTTGCTGAGTAGAGATTTAATATTGATAAAATTAAGAAATCAAAGTTACTCCCTTTTTATTTATTTATTTATTATTTTGCACACAAAATTGTATACATGGCGGACTTAATGCCTGATGGCATTCTCTACCAGTCAACAGTCGCGTTGATCAGAGATAAAAAGGCGGTGCACTTTAAGAATTAACATAAAAAATAATAAATACAGAGAAATACAGAAAATCTTTTAATAATATAACAATTAGGGAATTTAGTATTATTAAACTTATGTATTTAATACATATTATTGATATAGACACGAATAATTTTATGGCAAATAAAGATATTTCGGGTTCGATTCTTTGTACGGTATAAACATGATATATAAGTATGATTATTTGTAATTACCTAAGTTACTCTTTATTACATCAGCTGCCTGCCAAAAAAAATCTCGTCAAAATCGGTTCAGCTATTTCAGAGATTATTCGGAACAAACAGATCGACAGACAAAAATTGACAAAAATTGTAAAAAATATTATTTGGTGTATGTACCGTATTTATCTTCATATGCATGTAGTAAATAACGTTTATTTCAATATTACAAACAGACACTCCAATTTTATTTATATGTATAGTTTGTAAATAACAAAAAAAATAGTCATATATTAAACAAGAAGAACAATAAAACTTTTTTTCCATTTTGGGTTAGATTACTGAAAATTTTTCTTTTTTGGTCAAGGTCACATACATAACACGCCGACGAAGTAGCGGGCACAGCTAGTATATAATAAAATCTTTGACTTACTATACATATAAATTAAAAAACTTTATTATATATTTTTTTCAAATAGAATGTTAATATTATGAATTGCTAAACTTATATTATAACTGGTTATACTCATTTCTGTCTACCTTTTGAGGTTGGTAATAAAATCATGACATAATTATCCCCTTTTCGGTTGCATTATGTCCAAGTAAAACCAATTATCTGAACAATGTGGCCTATAAATATATTTGGTCTGACGTGAGTTTATTTTCCACTTCAGTTCATTGTTCCACGATAGAGTGAGCCCTCAAATTCTTTTGTCTCTTTAATTCAAAACACACTTACATAATGTGTAACTTAGCTGAAAGCTGGTTGGTAATTGAATCATGTTGAATAGATTTGTATAAATTTTCTCTTTTAGCCACCAACATGGTTATTTATAATATAAAGAGTGACAAATAAAATTATGGATTTATTATCCATCCATCCAAACAAAAACCAACTACAACACATATAAGAGAAATTTGATATCCCACTCTTACATCTAAATAATTATTATAGATATAGATAAATGTTGATGATAGATATAGATGTTACAATTAAAATTGCCTGTAATATTTAATGAAATGCATCAAGTTAGTAAAAATCAAAAAAGATGTAAATCTTAAACATAATTATTTATTATAACAATTTTTATAGATAAATGATGTGCTCTGCAAAGTTGTAGTACATCATTTTGTTCTATCATTAATAATTTTCGTAGTATTTTTTGTGTAATTATTTCTCATCTTTGGTTTCATTATTGGAGATTTCGTAAGGATCCCTAATTTTTTTGCAAATATAAAGCCTATGACACTCAGGGATAGTGTACCTAATGGTGAAAGAATTTTTCAAATCGGTCCAGTAGTTTAGGAGCCTATTCAATACAAACAAACAAACAAACTTTTCCTCTTTATAATTTTAGTATGATTACAATAATCTAGAAACTTATCGTATACAAAAATTATAATTACTTTTCTTAGAGATAACTACGTGCCTGCAGACAATCTCCGACAGTAGTTTTGGAGGACAGCAATTGTAAATATTGTAAAATTGGAAAATAAAGCTTTTTTAGCTACCTATTTTTCTATAATCATATTGCTATTTAAAAGAATTACAATGAACAAATTTGTAATTATGAATCTTAGTCAGTAGCGATTATATATTATTTGATGCAGGTATACTTTTTACAAAGTTATCTGCATGGATACTGCTGTCACCACTGGAATGGTAACCTATATATATAACCAAGTCACGGCGTTGATGACGTAATGATATCATGCTATTTTTTGTACTATTAAAGTACATAAGAATTTAAGTCCCACAAACGAAATAGTTGTTCATTAAATGTTAAACATACATAAGTATAATTTTATAAATAAACCGGCTTCTTAAAAAAATCAGTTGATTTCCTTGTCAGTTCTTTATAATTGAGTCTGTATACTGAACTGAACCGTAGGGAAAAAAATATTAATACAAAAAACTTGTCGCTCATAATCGGCTAAATGTCCTACTTGAATAACTGAGTTTTGATTTTATATTGGACATACCTTCTCTGGGAACCATGGCGTGACAAAGGGCATCTGGAAGGTGTTGGTGTATGAATGAAGCGTGTCAAAAGATTCCGGAGTCACTGCACCGAGCATTGCAAACACGCCGCGAGCGAATTGATTGCATACTGTAAAAAAAATACTCTATCATTTCTATTTCTTATAATATACACCTACTTTTTAGAGCAAAGATAGGTTTTTATTATATTAAGTTAATTTAATTAAAAAAATATTATACCATAAAGAAGAGGATTCAAATTGTATTTTATTTATTGAAATTGATTTTAATATTTATTAATTTATTTGGTTACTGTAAGGCTACAAATGTTCGATGAATATCAAGTAGTAAGAATTACCATCTAGCAGAAATGAAATAATGAAATAATAAAATGACTGAATTTTTAATAATGTACACTAACTGAATATTATTAACATTTAAACATAATTAATGAATTACAAACTATTAATGAAATGTATAAAAAGTGTTTTGTAAAAACAATAATGCAATAAGATACTACTGTTGTACCAACACTTCTCATAAATACAACATGTTGAAAAAAGCATGTAGAAATATTTGAATAATTATTCATAATTTTAAATAGATTAAATATTATTATCGAACAGTTATCGTGATAAGTTCTATTAAAATAAAATTTTGTAATAATAATAATATAGCGATATTAATGTACTTGGGAGCATTAAAAAATTCGGAAGGCGAAGACGGATTAAATGAGACAATTCACTTTATTTTCAAGTTCATTAAATTTAGCTCCACTGACAGGCTTTTAGGGTAATTGCGTTAGGGCGTAGTCATAATATCATAATAGCTACTGTGTAGCAGTAATGAACGACAAAAGTCAATACCACGATATGTTTTCAACATAACTTACATTTCAACATAACCTATACAATGCATGTACTTTATGTTTAACTTAAAGGATATAAATATTATTAATTACATTATGTCAATTAATGAAAATTATAAAACAACAAAAATTATATTAATAGTCAATAAAAAATACAATTTCATTTTCTTTTTATTATGGTGTCGTCTTATTATGTTTAATTTAATTTTTACTTATTCAAAATTAATTTTTATTTTTACAATTATTGTATGTTACTTTCCATAAATTAACATTAAAAAGTTCTATTAAATATTTTTCAAAAGTCTTATTACAATCTTTAAAATACATAATGTCCTTCAATACTGTATTTTTAGGCAATATATATACTACCTATCGTCACTTCAGTTAAAAGTTAAATTTTCGATATATTGTAATATAATGAAAAAAAACACTATCCTTGTTAATGTGAAAACTGCCTTAGGGTACGAATCGAATAAAATTTTCTAGTGATACTATCTCCACTCTCGGATGCTATACCTTAAATTCTAAAAATAAATTTCACTTAATAGGCCATAATTTGACACCCCCGTTTAATTGTAAATTTATAAGCAACTACTGAATTTTTAAAGATACTTAAGTATAAAATATTGTTGTTCTATAATTAGTTCTTTTTAAATGTGAGAGAAAGAAAATATAAACAATAAAGCAACACAACAAGAAGTATTCTTAAGTCTACACATTAATAACACAATAAAACTGTTACTTACGAAGTAACAATTTGATCTAATTTGCTTCATTTTAGAAGCAAATGAGATGAAGCATAAACATCCTAGGTTAATATATAGTTATTTTCAATTATGCATGGAAAATTAAAACTTAACAATGAATGATGTTATTAAATAAACCTAGTTGAGATATTTTTCCATAAAAACTCATTAGGTGGAACAACATAACCCATATTTACTGGGAGCATGCTCATGTAGTGTAATAAATAATATGTTGCATTACTGAAGGCGCTCCCACACTGCAATGTTATATTCACCGAGGTAAAGCTCGTGTCTAAGCTGTTAATGTGCAGTTAAGGTAAACGTGCTAACAGTATTTAATGCTCTTACCACCACAAAAGTGACTTCATATCAGTTCCCTCAGTCTAGGGGCAAGTGAATTTATTAGTAGGAGTTATGTTTCATCAGCCCACGAGAAATAATAAGACCTAATTGAGAGATTATTCTATAAAACTTAATTAGCTAGAACAACATAACTTATATTTATTTACACCGGTAATGTGCTCGTGATATGTAGTAAATATGTTGTATTACTTAAGGCGATGTCACACTGCGTGTTATATCCACAGTTCGTGATAAAGTTCATGTTTAAGTTATTAATGGGAAGTTAAAGCAAGCGTGCTCACAGCATTTAATACTTTTATCACAACAAGAGCGACTTCATATCACTTTCCTTAATAAATATATATTTTATAATTTTATATATTTATATTGAACGGCCATATGATATAGTCAGTCTATTTTGGTATAGGATTTCAGCTCAAGACTATTGAGGGTTTAGGACAGTGTAGGAAATTACTAGGCCGCGTCGATCTGTAAACAAAGTGTTGCCAATTGTAATATACACTTTAACCGATACGAGTTAAATTGAAAATATAACATGGATATTTTCAGTTACATTTTTCATTAAATTTTGGCAGTTTTAGTTAACATCTGTTCTAGTTGGACATGCAACTACTGTTTTGTTTTATAAATTTATTCTAAAACAATTGCAAAATATTTTACAACACATTCCATGGCATGGCTGTCAGGAACTATATATGAATTTTGTCAGTTTTCAAATAAGGAAAATAATTTTTCATACGTCACTTGTAGTGTATACGATTTACAGTTTTTTGTATACAAATGCTAAAACTTCACTTTAATAATGTTAATATATTTTGTAATAATATGATGAGATGAGCAAAACTGTATTTTTATTAATGTAGCAAAGGTAATTAATAGTAATAGACTTAAATAAATTCACACTACACTAATATTATAAATGCAGACACCCGTCTGTTTGCTACCTAGTCATTGACTGAACTTTGAACTGAAACTACTAAAATCCACGCACTCAGAGCACCCTACACAAAGTCCAGATATAGTATACAAGAGCGGTTTGACATTACTACTATTACAATATTAAGGCTGTTGTTAAATTACTGTACCACCATTTTTATTTATTTAATCAAAGAAATTCATTTTAAACAACATATACTCAATGTTTGAAAGCATTATTTTTGAGCGGAACAATACAAGACAATGAGTTATAGTTCAATTCAAACAAAAATAAAACATTACAAGGTTGATTTTGTGTGAATACAAATTATTAAGCTATATTATCGCTCTCTACAAGCATTTTGGTCGAGCGATTATTTACTTGTTTTACGAAGAAAGATCGTAAGTTTGTTTATTACCATAGTCTTACCACCGAGGGGTGAGGCTCATACATTCACTGATTCTTTATGAAAATGATTTACCATCTGTATATGACTGTGGCTAAATAAATATATTTTTTCTCCTAGTAATTTCACGGTTGAATCTTTCTTAGTCCGACCCTAACCCAGACTTTTTTACCACTTTTACTTAATTATTATTTACCATAGTATATTATAAAGTGGATGTGTGGTGTGACAAGAATGGATAAGATAAAGAATGAATATATTAGAGGAAGTATGAAAGAGTAATCTTCTATCATGGTATGGACATGTAATGCGTAGAAATGAGGATAATATGTTAAGAAAGGTGTTACATATGAATGTGAATGGTTATAAGGGCAGAGGAAGGCCGAAAAAGAGATGGATGGACTGTGTGAAAGATGATATGGTAAGAAAGGAGGTAAATAACGCGACGACTGCGAACAGGGATGAATGGAAGCGAAAAACATATTACGCCGACCCCAAATAAATGGGATAAGGAAGAAGCAGATGATGATGAGTATATTATAAAGTGCAATATAAAAGGCAGACTAGAAGCAATCTCTTACATACAAGTTCTTATATGATTATCCGCGTCTGAACTTGGTTCAATATATAAAGGTTTTTCTGTTTCCTTAAAAGTTTTATGTAATCTTTCACTTACCAGCCTCTCAGCTATGATATTAAATAACTTTTTGTAGTACGGTATCAATCTGCGCACGCTTTGGTCAGATATTATATTTATGTTTTGTATTTGTGCCTTATCCTTATACTAAGGATTGTAATTATTACGCTATATACGTATTTCACTACGAATTCTATAATTACTATGAATCGTCATCATCTGCTTCTTCCTTATCCCATTTATTTGTGGTCGGCGTAATATGTTTCTCTCTTCCATTCATCTCTGTTCGCAGTCATCCCGTTATTTACTCCCTTTCTCGCCATATCATCTTTCACACAGTCCATCCATCTCTTTTTCGGTCTTCCTCTACCCTTATAACCATCCACATTCATATGTAACACCGTCCTTAGGATTATAGTTACTATTAATCATAAACATTAAAAATGGACGAACATTTATTAGGAAAATCTTTACTGATATAGATATATGTATTGAAGAGGAAAATTGTAATTTATGTGTTAAGGTTTCATTTAAAAAATACGTCTAAAAGAGCACTAGGATAAAAATATCTCAAAATGGATATATGATGTTGAATCTATGTAGGCTAATAAACTGTGCAGTAACATGTGAAATTGTCACTTTTGTTACTCTATCAATACTGTATCTAGTAGAATAGAATACAAAATCATTTATTCAAATAAACTTAATTTAAGCACTTTTGAATAGTCATAATGTTTTTTCTGTTATCTACCGCTCGTTCGGAAAACTGTCTCATCACACGAAGAACGAGCAAGAAACTTGTGTGTTGCTTTTTTAAATAATCCTTGTAAGTTTACATTAACAAGTCGAAACGTGTGAATACAAACTACCAAGCAGCACTAATTTATTAGGGTCAAATAGGTGATGGAACAGTGCTAGAAGAATGAAGTTGTGGAGTTGAGCACAGTATTTTCGCAAGAAATTTTATCGTAGTCATAGTTCAAATTTATCTACTTTAATTTTTTTAATTTCATATGAACTTTAATTAAAGGCGACTTGGCTCGGCGAAATGAGACTAACGAATATCAGTAGCTTTATATATATGTATAAACCTATAATATACCCTCTAGTTTTAATGAGAAATGAACGAACTAATAACTAATACCTCCTAACGAACTAACATATAAAACCACATTTTGTACGACTACAGTTTAA